GAAAATCACAGAATGACGAGCAGAAGGACAAGAGGATGATTTTGAGGGAAGCGCGACCGAGCGGAGAAGCCTGGACAAAGAGGACAGCGATAGATAGCCGCCACATCGTGTACATTATCTCACAAAGTAGATCCTAGCAAAGAATGACTCCGGTCAATACCTCAAGTCAAGCCTTATCTGTTACCAATATGATCCGTGAATCTAGCTAGAGGTTATCGCTTTCATCTCTTCACCCACAGCACGGGTAGTGGTGCCTCGTGGAGGGTAGAGGGTGAAGGATATCCTACCACAATCGATGGTTTTCAATACTGCTTGATTGAGTAACGTCTGGCTCGAGATGAGACGAAATACAATATAATCAACAGTCCTGACGAAGCGCGTCAAGGATGAAGTGCATGCCGCTCTTGCCTCCCAACCTAGCTTCCGCGATGTAGAAAATGACAAATTATCAGAGGTGAGACTTGGAGTTACATTAGTATAGATCCAAGGCAGTCACGAACAACCAACTAGAGAAGCGTAAGAGTTGATTTTGGCATGCTAAGGTACAGATCAAAGTTCATGACATCAGAACTAAACCCAGCCCAGAGCTCACGTCATTATTATTGTACACACCCATGATTCCTTTGCGGAATTTATGGGTTCTGCTTGACCCACTCAACACCCTTCTTGATGTTCTTGGCGAGGTCAGCGACGCAGGCGTCGAGGAGCTTCTGCTCGTGGTCGGTGATCTTGCCAACGGGGTGGATCTTCTCAACACCGTTGGGGCCGAGCTCGACGTTGGTGGAGAAGTACTCGCAGCCCTGGTCCTTGAAGAGAGGAGAGTCGACAAAGGTGGGCTCGATGACGTTCTTCTGGCCCTGGGCAGCCTTGAGAAGCGACTCGGCGAAGCGGGCACCAGCCATGGCCATGGAGAGAGTGGCAGAACCAGCTCCGTCCTTGGCCTGGACGACCTCGTCACCACCGAACTGGACGCGCTTGATGTACTCGGCGAGCTGCTCGCCCTCGAGGTTGTATCCGGACTGGGACAGGAGGGGAACGATGGTAGCGCCGGAGTGGCCACCGATGACGGTGATGTTCTCGGTGGCGGGGTCGGTGTTCTTGAGCTGGGAGATGAAGCGCGAGGCACGGACAACATCGAGGGTGGTGACACCGAAGAGGCGCTTGGGGTTGTAGACGCCCTTGGACTTGAAGACCTCGGCGGTAATGGGGACGGTGGAGTTGACCTGAGATGTCAGATTCTGAGTGGTGTTATTGTAATTGAGTCAACGTACGGGGTTGGAGATGATCAAGATGTTGGCCTCGGGGGCGTGGTCGGCGCAGGCCTTGGCCAAGTCGCGGACGATGGAGGCGTTGGTGTTGAACAAGTCTGCTGGTGTTAGACGTGTCGGCAGTATCAATGACTTGTATACTCACCATCACGGGTCATGCCGGGCTTGCGGGGAACACCAGCGGGGATGACGACAATCTCAGCACCCTTGAGGGCGTCTGCGAGACCTGAGGGAGTGGCCTCATGACCAGTGACCTTGTCGAGTATCAGTAGACGGTTCGCGCGTGGCTGCGGAGGGATGGCGTACCTCGCTCTTGGTGTTGATGTGGCCAATGTCGGCAGCGACACCTGGATGAAGTCAGAATTGAATGTCGTATGTGCAATTGACTGAGCTTACCGGGAGCTAGACGGATGTCGTAGAGGGAGAGCTTGCTAACCCTGGGGTTGAGCTTGAGCAGCAGGGACAATGGCTGACCAATACCACCAGCGGCGCCGAGAACGGTGACCTTGGAGTTCTACAGTGCATGCAGTTAGCATCTTGTGCTTGGTTTGTCCCAATGGCGTTGCATTGAAGCATTGAAGCGCCCCACCACAAAACATCGCGGGTTCCGGGAATAGGCCTACCTGGCGGGCCGAGGCCGAGAAGCAGCGGCGCTGGGCCTGGAAGAAAGCTTGCCTGGCAGCGAACATGATGTCTGTGAGAGGCGTTGAGGAGATGGAGACTGGGTTGGACGGGTGGAGAGGTGGTGTAAGGGAATGCTGCGGAGGTTTTGCGAATCTTGACGGTCAGTGCTTCTTCGGCTGGGCGTCGGAGCTACGGCTGACAGCCGCTCGCAGACTTCTCCCCTCCCGCGATGCTTAATCCCAAGTCTACCACAATTGCATTCACATACGCTAACACGATGTGCATTCTCATTTTGTGCTCGTTCACTCGTTCAGACAGACCGACAGCTGCGTCTATGTGCCCGGAAACTTTCACCACCCACAGCCACATGCATCGCATCGCTTAAGCTTACTCCAATCGCAGTCCATCGCGAGTCCTCCGTAACACTATACACTGTCGCTGTATGCCTTACCACGCTACCAGACCAATGGCATTCCGTAGCGGTGAGTCGAAGAAGCTAAAAGTGATGTGTCGTAGAGTAGTCCCGAATTAAAGCCACGCCTTGACTCACTGTGGCAGTGCATGTAGTAGGTACACTATATACTGCTTCTTGAGGACCTCGACTTTGACCATCATCAGTCGACAACAGCAATAACGCGACTATCGTGGCTTCCTCACTTACAGAAAGCACGGACCTACGCGGCATCCTTGAGAACGCAATGGCTACCACAGATCGAGCCGAATCTTCAGTCCCAGAACTTCAAGCAGCATTTGGTTCAATACTCCTCGCCCGCCCAACACCAGCAGCGCCTCCCCCTACAGAGCCACCCTCCTACATCGTAGGACGCGGTTGTTCTGGCAGAGGTATCCCCCCATGGTCTCTGGACAGGGTTCAGCTACCCAAGTGGACCGGCGCATTCAAGCTGTTCGACTTCCCACGCGAACTTCGAGACAGGATCTTCCACTACGTCGTCTACCGCCCAGAAGGCATATACTACAATGCGCACCGTAATCCAGATCTGAAGGATATCGGGCCGTGCGAAGACGCTATCAACCTTTTCCTCGTTTCCAGGCAGGTCTACCACGAGGCGATGCAAGCGTTTGGACGGTCCAATACCATTGCGCTATCTGCGAAGTACAGCCCACGAGAAGGACTTCACAAGCCACTCAGCGGCTTGCTTCGTCTATTCCCTGACCGTGCTGCTGCTACGGCAACGAAGATAAGGCACCTGTATCATGATACGGTACCCCGACCGTATGGAAGATACGGCATAGCGCCGAGCCATAACAGTCTGTTCGATGGAGGCGATGGTACCGGTCATTTCCGCAAGCGTCAGCAACCTGGAGAGACTTTCCTGGAGATATTGCGGGATGCGCATACCCTCACGCAGCACTTCCCTAAGCTGAGCACCTTCGAAGCGGCTTGGGAGGTCGGCCCTGGTTTTTACGAGTACCCGATACCAGAATGTGTCGTGCGTGACATCGCGACATTCTTATACAAAGGCGGCAGCCATGAAGAGGCTGTAGATATGTGGTTGCATCTCATGAGGGGCTGGGTGCAGGGGGCTAATGTGGTTCCGCTGGCATGCGTCTGGTTTGAGTGCCGAGGATTCGGTGCTGATGGATTCGGTGAGGACATGGATGAAGCTGCGAATGAAGCGTATCAGAAAGTGGTGAAGGAGTTGCAGAATAGGGAGGACATTGAGGCTAGTGGGGCGCTGTGGCTCGAAGAGATGGAGGAAGCGAGCAGGAGCAGGAAGAAGAAGGGCAAGGGAAAGACGGCGCGGAAGTGAACACCGTCGATACAGACAGGAGCCTGGCTCACTGAAACCAATTGCTAGAACCTATAGAGCAAAGCATGTGTCATACTGATTTCCCAGTGACATCAGCGGGACTGAGAAAGCAACAGGCGATGTCGTTCGAATTCCTTCATCCAAGTCACTTATCAACAACCTCCACTCCTGTAGAGGACATGTTGTTCTCTACTCCACGTACGCTAGGGTAAATCGGCATCGAGCGAGTAACACGATGAGGGGAAGCGTTCGCTTTTGTACTCTTCCGTGAATTATGCGATTCCTTCAATAGTTGAATCTTAACCCACCGCCACTGATAGGAGTATGACCTCTGGTGGGTGGGACCTTCTGCTTGAGGAAAGCATGTTCCGGTCAGCTGTAGGCGCTATGATGGTCGCACAGCATGCTTGCCCCATGTCTCGCGAATCCAAGCTCTTTAGTGGCTGAAATCACACTCCTTCATGTACCAAAAGCGGACGCAGCAATAGCGGTGTTCTTGGGGGTGTGAGCTGTTTAGTGCGGAGACGGCCGGGGAACTTCGAATGTGGCTTCTGGGGGCGCGCCTCAATTCAAGTACACAAATCTGGGGATTCAGGAACGCGCAATAAGCCCGAGGAATGTCCTTTTTCTCCGAAGTCATCACGAACGATTGCCGTAGACCCCTATTTGCATGGCGCCAGCGGATCGTTTTCCGTCGGGGAGAGCGAAAAAGGGCTTCCGGGAAAGATCGCAGGCTAGCGCCCAATATCGCCTAGCACAGTCTCGTCCGACATCACAGTGCAGCTTCAGGCCCTTCCATTCACGCTTCTCCGCACTACAGAGTCTGACGGATCCGCCAGAACCGACTCACCTCACACACTTCGCACCAGCGGTTTCGCGGGTCCACTTCCCACCCGGCGAACATTCTACCGCCAGCATAAGAACGCTCGTGCTCCCCCCGAGTTTCCCCAAAGAAAGCCGCGAGTCAATTTTCGACCTTCTTAGCCCATGCACGTTTTGAGCTCAGACTACGAAAATTTCCCAGCGGATTGCGATTTCTTGACAACACGAATCAATTCTTTTACCGCCTCTTTTACTCAACGTTTTTCCCCATCATCATATGCGTAAAGTATATATGTAAACCCGACTGGCCTAGCGACATTACTCTTTCCTGAGCGACAAACCTCCACAGCGACATCTTTCTTCTTCTCTTGATCATTGACAAGCTTCATTCCATAGCGACACTTCCTGAGCGACTTCTTTGCCCAGCGACTCTACTTCCTGAGCGACATTCCACTGCGACATACCGACCACTTCCCAAGCAATTCAATTGCCAAACTCAACAACATTCACCAAGATGTCTTGCACCCAAGCAACCCAACCATTCCGCTTCCTGGACCTGCCCGGAGAAATCAGAAATAACATCTACGACCTGCTGCTATGCTCCTGGGAAGATGAACTCGAGCAAGACCCCAGCATGAGCAGCAAGCTGAGCCGCCGCAGCCCAAGCAACCCATCACCCTCGCTCCTCCGCGCCAACAAGCAGATCTACGCCGAAGCGTCAGACTACATGATCAAGCGCAACCAATTCGTCCGCATCACATGCCGAGGTCTGGACTCCCGTAACCTGTTCCTCGGCGAAGGCATTCCCGTCATAACAACCGATGCACGCAAAGTAAGCGTATTCGACGGCCACGTCATGCACATCACGCTGTCCAAGCCCGCGTTCACGCCATCGCCATTCCAGTTCTCCGAGTTCGAGATCATGATGCTCCGGTCAGATCTGCCGAAGTTGTGCGAGCAGCTGGACATCGAAACCGTAATGGCGGATGCAAACTCAACCACCACAGAACACGCCTCCATCAACGCCACCATCCGTCTCAACTACGCGCAAACCCGTTTCTTCACCCCGAAGATCCAGGAACGTCTCCTAGAGCCCATTGCGACATGTCTGCGCGGCATCCCCAACATGCGCATCTCCGGCTTCGTCGATCCCGCCCTCGCAGACAGCGTGCGCACGCAAGTCGCGCAACCCCGCTGGACAGACCCTGAGTCCACAATCGAAGAAATCGGCACCGGCGTCGACGTTGGAAAGCGCCAGTGGCAACAATCCAATTTCTACGCAGCTTCTGAATCCTGGGCCTACGCCATGCGCACCCTCGAGCGCATGCGCCACTCCTCCTCGTGGGCGGGCCTGCAAAAAGCCGGCGGCGAGGATTTCGTCAATAAAACCGCCGATCTCTATTTTACACTCAACCTCTTCCACGCACAATTCCTGCAAGTCGATATGGCGAACGACGCATCTCAGGGTCCTCTTGTGCAGCGTAATGGCCGTGTTGCGATTGGCCATTTGCGCAAGTGCGAAACGGCTGCTGCGCGGTTTGCGCAGCATGCGGGTGCGACGTGGACGCCGAGTAATGCGCAGAGCGCTAAGATGCTGTTCAGGCATGCGAGGTGTTTGAGGTTGATGCGTGATGAGAAGAGTAGTGTTAAGGCGGTTACGTTGATTGAAGAGGCGGCTGCGCTGCAGCCGACGGATTTGGCGATTAGGGATGAGAAGGATGCTGTGCTTACTTGGGAGGCTGAGCTTGAGGAGGCAAGGAGAGTGAGTGCGGAGCAGAACCAGCAGTCACAACAAAATGAGAGGAGGGGTGTTTGGTCGTCGATCTGGGGCGCGGTTGCGGAGCTGGCATCCTGAGTTTTGGTATAGCCTTTTCTGTTTAGTTTTGATACCCAATATCTATTCGTTGTTTGCTGGGCGGGTTTGCCGCCTGCTGCACACAACTTCGCGAATACTCATCATTATGCGTGTGTTTGATCGTCGCCGGTAATGCAAGAGTTGGGATCTGCGTTTGATGTCGTGTGGGTGCTGATCAGTAGTCGTGGTATCGGACCGCTGTCAGCTGGATAGCTGGTAAATCGCTCATCGAAACATCAGGGTAGTAGAGTAGAGCTTAGCCTAACATACGGGCAAAGATCCTCCAGGAAGAGCAATGACGTCGATGCCAGACGTAGGCATGGACTCGAAACGGCCATCTTTTGAAAACATGAGTGCGTATGCACTAACCGCAGTGGACGACTAGCCTGCGACCGGGAGACGTATAAACACATCCTCTGAGTGCTCACTTTCTGTTTCTTTTTATCTACAAATTGAGCTATCTTTGCTCAAAAATTTGAAGACATGGTGTCATGAGAAAGAGAAACTTACAAAACTCCATGATGTTCCCGGCATGTCCGCCGCTCTTTCGCGTTCTCCAAAATATAGCAAAATATCTAAACAGCCTGTTCATGTCTAGACTTCGACTCTGCTCTTCCCACCAAAATCCAAGTAGATCGCAAAAATGTTCCTGAGAGCAGACCACAAAAGCCTCATGATTGTTGGACTCTTCGCTTTCCTCCTTCCACTCACGACTGAATTTTCCAAAAGTCTCAAAAGCGATTCAAGCCTTCTACATGTTTTCACCCCATCATGGAACCAAATGCACCGGTTCTTCCTCTAAAATAACATTATCAAGATGCCATGGCGGAGATCGTCTGCGGCTTTCCAGTCACCCAAAAGAGGCATTCCTGCGAGCTATGTTGGCGTGCTGGGTCGGTGTATAAAGCTATTCTTTACTGCCCGTGGAGTTGACTTCTTTCATCCTCAAGCTTCATACGACTTTTCACAAAAACATCCATGGGCATTGCGATGTTGTCCTCTGTCACTGGTGAAGCTTCCAAAAACTACTACGCTCGGCCTTATGTTTTCAGCACCAGAAGAATTTCCAATCCAAGTGTTGTTCAAAAGCTGGAGTTCGTGCCACGATGTTCTACAAAACTACGGTCTATACGTGCTATGTGCGAGCTGGACCCCTCGGCATTCAAAACTTTACAGAATCACCCAATGAGACAAGTACAGAGATTGATTTCGCGGGTTATGATTTCGCTATACATCACCAGCGAGGTATTAAACGACCGACTGGTGAGAGTCATGTGTTCAAAGATGAAGTCGAATATGCTTATGGTCTTTTTTCTTGTGCAGACCCTCTATACGCAACAACCATGGACTCTTGCAGCTGCGACCAGATCTTCGCGCTACTGAAGTGCCCGAGTATATAATCTCCTGGTTTCCCACTTCACTTTACTTCCACACAAGACATTACCGTTCATTACTTTTACCAAAAGATCCAGCCGCGTGATCCATGGCGTGCTGGGGCCGAGAATCTTTAAAAGTCCAGCTACACGCTTCATGATCACAGGTACGGCGGTGATCAAAACTGATCTACTATTGGGATATGTGCGAGAAAATCTCTGCCTCTTCCACTCTCAAAAATGGAATACAGAGGAATCATGGCTGCGGCATTGAGTCGGTATAAAACCTCGGCTTATACTACCTCCTTACTCTTCTACTCCACAATATCCAGGTTTCGACCTCCAAAAACTATCCTTCACCCAGGACATGGAAGTGTTCCTGCGGAGAGCCAACTGAAATACTCAAGAAGCAGGAAAAATGTCTGCGGTCGTCCGGCTGTTCAAAAACTCCATTGTCGAGTTTTCATGTGTGCTTCTCGACAGCGTATTGATTTCCACCCCATTACTCAAAGTGTAAAGATCGAGACGGCATGATTGAGAGTTCCTGCGAAATTCCTAGCATCCTGCTTCCATTTTCCAGATAGCAGCTCATTGATCACGAGAGCGTCTTCCCCGGAAGCATCACGAAAAGAACTGCAAACCGTGCGTATGTGTGCGCTGTTCTTTCGGGCTAAGAGCAAGTACATAAATCTCTGAGACTTCCTGGGGTCTTCCTTCATTCACTTATTCCGTGGAGTTACACCAAAACCTTCAAGATATCTACAACATGTCTGCTGGTGCGAGCCGAGGACCCCAAAAGGGAAACCCACTGTTCGATGTTCGACCGTGGTCCTGCTCTGATCATGTCTTGCTCTGAACTCTTGACCCCTTAGCTTCGCGGGGTCGCCACTTTGGCTGCAGGGGTGTAGTCAGTACAAATACTTCAGCTTCGGTGTTCCTCTTGCTCTCTTCTTCCACAACCTTTTATTGCTGGCTTCCAAAAACAGTCGGTTATGATGCCATGGTGGTTTCTGGGAGAAGTAAACCAAAAATGCGACTAAGATGACTCATGTCTGTGGAGATCCGGATTTTCAAAACACCCGTCGAAATCATCATGTCTGCCTCTCAAGATCAGCATACCCATTTTGATCTTCTGGTACAAAAGGAGAAAAGCCAAGCTAATGTTCGGGTCGCTGAGAATCTGCAAAAGTTCGACATACCAACAGAGCCGCCAATTGCTCTTCATGGAGTTCTGTTTTCGGGAACCGGCTCAAGCGCGTAGCAGTGGTTCTTCATGTGTGGGATCGTCTTTCGGACTGAGAGGAAGTGGTTATATAAACCTCCAATGTTTCCTGATATTCTATTCTCTATACTTGCTTTGCGATGTGACCAAAAGATTGGTGAAGTTTGGCTTATGTTTGTGGAGACGAGTCGAGAGGAACCAAAGAGATGTTCACGGATTTCGATGCTGGAAAGCGGTCCTGTTCTTGAATATGTGTTGGTCTGATCTGACTGATGTCTGCTTGCCTCGACCTCAAACTGGCGAATCGCGAAGATCATCCAAAAAAACTTGAGACTGGTGTCATGTCCTCGGGTCTGCACTTCTGACCCCTCACCTTCGCGGGGTCGCCACGTCCCTGTGGTGATGATGCTCAGCAGCAGCTGTAGGCGCCAGATGCAGCCACCTCGACGGCGCATCCACACTGTGGAGCCAATACGGCGATGGCGCAGGATCGTTAGCCTTTCGTGAAGTCGGGTGCTAGCGGGCAGATCCTGATTGCTGGCTCAAGCTTCCGCTACCGCGCTATGTTCCACCACGATGCCAGTTGCATAATGCTGTCCATGTGTGCATGAAGATGTTGACGTTGTAGACGTGATACCTACCCGGCGGATTGCATCATGAATGATAGAAAGCAGCTGGTAAGGATTCAATCCATATCGGCTATCCGGCTGTGGCGTGTAAGCGACCGTAGTCTGTCCCGAAGCAGCCATCAGCAACGTACGACGATGTGGTTTTGCTGTAGCCATAACAACAGCAGGAAGATGCAGACAAGATCACTGCATACATGCGGCATTTCCAGGTCTTATCGCACAACCGGATGGGCTAGGATGGCGCGCATCGACGGTGTTTTGCAGCGAACCCCGGTAAAGCGTCGTCATTGTTTCGTTGCACTGGCCTCAACCCTGTCGCCAGCCTCGCGACCCGCCAACGCCTCCAAAGATTCTGCATCAACACCAGCATGCCAATGTTCAGATAAGGACGGCGCGTCGTCCTAGTACCCCTCGTATCCTTGAACTACCTGTCTCGCCACTTGGAAGGCTGCCGATCATCCGAGTAAGTCGGATGCGGCGTTGGGTCGCGGTGAGGGCCCTGCGGTGATCCCGTCGCTCGTTACTTCACGATTTACGACTAGACTCGGTTCTCCTTGGCAGCTTGCGACGCCCTTTCCTCAAACACCCAAGCACGCCCGCCGTGCATTTTCTGCACTCAACAAGTCGACGTCGTTTCCATGGGCTCCTACTGCGCTAGCATCGCATTCCAGCGTCCTACCTGAGCCCATTGAGCCCCCACTGTCGCTTCAGACGCTTCCGGAAATTTGCCGACTCACATACTCGCCGAGGAAGGTGCGCTCGACGCTGCACTCCTCTAATATCAACACGGCAGGCACGACTCTCGTTGTACTGCGACGTACGCCCATAGATGCGACTGCGCTCCTCCCCAGACCGAAGCCCCGAGCATAACCATCCCGAATCGACTGCCGACAATTCACCCGCACCACTTCCGGAACATGTGGATAGACTCGACGCTCAGACTGAAGGATTGCTAGTGAATGCGCAGGGCGGGGTGAAAGAGAACAGGCCCAGGAACCACACAGACGTGCCTTCACAACGAATGGCGACCAACCCTCTCGCTATTTCCGATTCTCTCACCACCGCACGACCACCCATGGCGCACCAAAAGGCAGACTCCACCATGGGCGCTTTAGTGAAAGACAGCCCACCGCACACCATGGTCGCGGACCACAACAAGAAATGGCGCCACAGGCTTCGCTCTCCATGGGCATGTTCGCCCTGCACTCTCTTGACGACGTTGGCGGCCTTTGTTGCCATGTTCCTCATGGCCCAGTCATTCTTGACGCGGCAATTAGACGTCAAAGGCTGCGGCATGTCCTACATGCGGCCCAGCTATAAGAGATACACCGATTTCGACACCGAACACACGCGCTTCGCAAGCAAATACTCGCTGTATTTATACCGGGAAGGTAGCTTGGATGAGGATACCAGGGCATGTGCTTCGTCTCGTGCGAAGTGAGAAATGCTGACATCATACAGGTCAAGGGCGTGCCAGTGCTCTTCGTCCCTGGAAATGCTGGGAGCTACAAACAAGTACGCTCCCTCGCCGCCGAAGCCGCGTACCACTACCACAACACCGTCCAACACGATGCCGACGCCGGCCAGGCAGGGAAGAGACCACTCGACTTCTTCTCGGTCGACTTCAACGAAGATATCACGGCGTTCCACGGCCAAACTTTGCTCGACCAGGCCGAATACCTCAACGATGCCATCACATACATATTATCCCTATACCACACCCCGGGCAAGTTTTTGCGCGACTCTAGCTTGCCCGACCCAACTTCGGTCATTGTT